ATCACCAGTGGCGGTACCCGTCCTCGTGGAGGCGCTGCTTGATTGTGGAGCTACTGACATCATAGAAACGATCCAGATGTCCCAAGCGAGGTGCTCCCAAGGACAAGGTTGAGTGCTGAAACCAACTCAAACTCACAACTCTTAAAAGACAAGTTGCTTCCATGCCTCCAAGGAGAACATTCCCGATGATCCCAACACACCATTTCTGTGATGGGAAGGTGTTGCTAAATACTGTCGCAACTGTGGAGGTTCTCCAAGGAACCAGTGCCATTCACCAGTGAACATCGTGGGTTCCGCAAGTTTCTTACAAACACCCTCTTCTGGTGGCAACTCCTCCACCACCGCTGCTCCAGCTCAGCCCAATCACTGCTGGTGGAACTTGCTTCTTCGCCATGGATTACCTATGTCGCTGCGATGTCCCTGTTCAGACATGATTATTTATACACCAGCCCAATGGGTATGATTCGATTCCATGCAGGTCAACATGGCACAGTAGATCTAGTTCTGATGAGACCTCCGCTCTCTCAGCTACCTCAATGGGCTTCATGATGCCGTCGCAGAAAAAACACTTGGCAACAGTGTCTCATTGCCTTCTTGCCATTTTCTATTATTCGTACTCGTCTTTCCTCTTGGATTGGAGGAGAAGATGAGTCTGCTATACAGACATTTATCAAATACACTCGAATTCCCAGCCTGAATCTGGAGGAACAACCTTTCTCATCTACGCTAAAAGGCTGATGTTGTCTCTGTCCCATATCTCCCCACCATATCTCAGGACTATGTCTCCGGGTGCGATGTGTGTTTGTCTTTCTTTGTTTTACAACTTGCTTCTAAAGTTCAAAGGTTATACCATTCTTCAGTGGCTCTTCGCATCACCAAACTTCTTCCACCTTCAATCGGCCAAAACATTTGATCCCGATCCAGACCCACTCATACTTGTCAATTCCAAAATGATTTTCGGACCTGTTACAACCGATGTCTCTTCTTAAAGCATAAATTAACTCTTAAGGACACCTATGTCGTTCTTCTCAACCCCAACTCAACCAGGCTTCCCCCAAATGTCGGGCCAACAGAACCTGTCAGATACAAGCTGATGGGCCTCCTTGGAGTCATTGGGAAACTACAGTCGCTGGGCACAAACATTCCAGCTCTCCAGTGATCTGCCTTTAGAAAACAGCTTCGAAGCTATCGGCCAATGCAGGGAGAACTAAGACACACAGTCTCACGGCACCACACATGCTGCGCTCTCCAACAACGCATCCAATCTCTAATGAATCCTTTGCCAAGTCACTTCTTATTGCCCATATGTCTTCAGTGCTTTTGTTTGATAGTGGATGTTCCATTCTTGCACAATACTGTTCATGTTGACCCAATCTAACAGAAAGCTTTCCGAACCAATTATCCAGGAGGTATTCTGGAGGTCTGAGCATTTATACATCGGCACTACTATTGGAGACTTTGGATGAGCAAGCAAATGTTGTGTCATTTCGGGAGCAGTTCTTATTCATCCTGATCTCCAACAGACTCCAAGCCCTAAGCTTTCTTGTCCCATCAAGACTTGACCCAAAAACATGCAAACTCAGCATCACTCAAGTCTACCCGCCAGCTGAATGGCATACGAGAAAATGATACAATGAGTTGCTCAGTTCTACCCACTTATCTGTTCCAAAGGAAAGCAGACAGGAGATGTGAGATTGCTTACGAGCGAATCAAGGGGATTGCTTTCGAGCGAATCCAAGGGGTCGACAAGGGAATCAAATGGTGGATTCAATCGACAGATTGAGTTGCAATAAGGGGAAGAACTACGGATGGAGATTGGGCTCCACACCAGGGGATAGATCATTCCATTGACAACCATAAGGGATAGACATATAAGAATAAGAATGAGTAACATCTCATAACCTCGCATGCTACCATGCGACAATACCATTGTGCATAGATTAATCTAAGGATCTAAGAGATGCAAAGTTTGTATTTCCAAATAAGTGAGCAGTTATTGATTATTTTCTAGAATAAGCCTGCTAATTGTAAAGCTGTAAAGCTGAATTGTAAGCTGTATCCCGTCGCAAGCACACGGATCAAGCCAGCCCAGAGAGCGACCAAGGCGAAGATCAGAGGGAGGATGCAGAGCAACCGGACGATCCACTGACACACCAACCATCAGCAATGGATGAGCCGCAGGAACCGCAAACAGAGCCCAACCAACGAGGGCAAAGGCGACGAAAACAGAGGGAGCCGGCAGAGTCGACTCCACCAACTCGAATCAGCTCAAGGGCAACAAAAGGGAAACGATCGAGTCGATACATTGAAGAGTTCGAGACGGTGCTCGAAACAGAGGGAGCCGCAAACAACGAAATCTTCAGTTTCAATGCTATGATTCAACGAGAAGAAGAAGTCGTGGCAATGGCAGCAGCTGCAGATCCCGACATCATGTACTACCATCAAGCAATGAAGGAACCCGACAAAGAACAGTTCCTAGAAGCCATCAGAAAGGAATTCAACGACATGTTGACGAAAGATATCATGAGCCTGGTACCTGAAGAGGAGATGCCAGAGGGAGCTGATCTGTTTCCTGCTGTATGGGCAATGAGAAGGAAAAGAAGAGTTCTCACGCGAGAAGTGTACAAGTGGAAGGCTCGACTCAACCTAGACGGATCAAAGCAGATCGCAGGCAAGCACTATGACCAGACGTATGCTCCAGTAGCTTCTTGGGAGTCAATCCGAGTGTTGCTGGCACTAATACTACGCAACAATTGGCATACCAAGCAGCTCGACTACGTCTTGGCATTCCCCCAAGCCGATGTGGAAAGAGAGTGCTATATGCGAATCCCAAAAGGAATCATAGTGCAAAGCGATCAACAGTACGTACTGAAAGTCCAAAAGAACATCTACGGTCAGAAACAGGCTGGACGCGTATGGAACCAACATCTGGTAAGCAAACTACTGTCAATCGGTTTCAAGCAAAGCCAGTATGACGAATGTGTCTTCTACAAAGGCAACGCAATCTACCTATTGTACACGGACGATTCCATCCTGGCAGGACCAGACAACGATGAACTCCAGAGAATAGTGGAGCAGATTGCATCTACAGGCCTGGATGTGACAGAAGAAGAAGGAGGCCTCGAGGACTTTCTAGGAGTTAACATCACTCCAGTCGACAACGAAACCTATCACCTATCACAACCACAGCTCATCAACCAGATATTAAAGGACTTGCGACTAGATGGAGACAACGTCGAAGCAAAGGATACTCCAGCTTGTAGTTCGACAATCATCACACGTCATGAAGAGTCAACCGACTTCGATGGCCATTTCAACTACAGAAGTGTCATCGGCAAGCTCAACTACTTGGAAAAGTGCACGAGACCCGACATCTCTTATGCAGTGCACCAATGTGCAAGGTTTGCAGCCAATCCGAAGAAAGAACATGGAGCAGCCGTCAAACGAATCGGAAGATACCTCAAAGGAACACAGGACAAGGGATTCCTTATGCGAGTCGACAATGACGACTTCGAGGTGTGGGCAGACGCAGACTTCAGTGGGAATTGGAAACAAGAGGACGCTCAGCACGACCCTGACACAGCTAGATCACGCTCCGGCTACCTGATCAAGTTCCTTGGATGCCTCATCTCATGGAAAAGCCAACTACAAACAGAGATTTGCTTGAGCTCAACCGAATCTGAATACGTGTGCTTGAGTCAAGCATTGCGCCGGGTGATCCCACTGATGGAACTAGTCACCGAAATGAAGGAAGAGGGTTATCCAATCGGTAGTGACAAGCCAACAGTGAAATGCAAGGCATTCGAGGACAACAGTGGGGCTCTGGCTCTATCAAAAGCACCAGCCATGAGACCAAGAACCAAGCACATCAACATCAAATATCACCATTTCAGATCCTGGGTCGCAAGCGGACAGATCGACATTCAACACGTAGGCACAGACGACCAGCAAGCTGACTGTCTGACCAAGCCGAACGACCTAACAACGCTCAAGCGACATCGATTGAGCATGCAAGGATGGTAGAAGACTACATCAGTCGCAAAGCGACACAATCAACAAGCACAGCTCTCACTTAGTAACGAGTGAGAGGGAGTGTAAGATAATGAGGTGGAAAACCTCAAAGCAAGCAAGTCTTGCTATGACATCACATGGGACACCAGCTTACTAAGTGGAGGAGCATGTAGAACCCAATCTGCTCATTTTATGAGAATTGACTCCCAAGCGATCAGATTGGATGCAGATTTCATCAAACAGAATAAGAGGCAAAGCCTCACAATCCTTAGACATCAACTTTTGCAAGCAACAGTTGACTTAGCTATCATTAGCCAGGGATTAGCATAGAGCCAGTAGATTGGTCTGAACAAGGTTCCCCACTCTACTCTTCTATAAGAACAGTTGTGTTCCGAGAGCGTACAATGTACAGTCGTACCACGAGTGGTTGTATTTTGACATATAGACGTTATCCAAACGTGCCTAGCTAGTAATGGGAAGCAAAACCGCCAAAAGGCTACTTTTAGACATTTTGATGCAGTACATGAACCCCAGAGCCATGCTGCTGATGCGCCGACCTCTTAGAGACCCACAAGAGGACTAGTGAGTCTTCCCTAAAAGGGGAGTTGGAGTCAAGTCAAGTAATGTACCTTTGCCAGTACGTTGATGCACTCCAGAGAGAACCTTGTTGCTTCCTCTTCAGCATGCAGTAGTTGCACTTTAGTGACTCGAATGGCATTTCATCCGTCCTTCTACGGAAATCAAGCAGCTTGATCGTTTCGTGCTTGAATCAATCCAACACTTGTCCTCTACAGGCAAGCAATCACGTCATCGGAGATGTGATGATTGAGGGCAGCAAGGAGCTCCTACAGTACCGGTACTACTTGGGCAAAAGAAGTAATCGCTTGCAATACCATGGGTGAAAGCTCATTCATCAATCCTTTAGGTTTTTATGTACAATTCTATAAACTCTATATCATACGAACTCTTCAAGCTCGTTCTATATCTAGCTAGGCTGCAGCATTGGATTTGGAACGAGGTGGTGTGAGACTTCTTGTTTGTCTTCGCAGTCGGATTTTTCTTCCTTCACCATTGGCCGCTGCCAAGGCTCGTCTCTGCCGTACTTGCTTCACGTGGCGAACGTAGAAATGAACGTTCTCCTTCAAATAGTTGTTGGTGATGCATCCCCGTTGGCGTAAGCTTGCTTTGAGGTTTCGAAACGCTTCATCTTCCATGATAATGGACTGAATGTCTCGGTCGGTATAGCTCAGTGCTGCCTTTTCCTTTTCAAACAGAGGGCCTTCTTCTTGGTGCTCGAGTGCCGTCGCCAAGTTAGAAAAAGAGCTGTTTATTCTAGCGTAGAGAGCTCCGTTCAGCTTGGACAGAGACTGATGCGGATTCCATGGCCTGGTGCTGGTATTAGGTGGTGCCGAAGGACTGTTACATTTTGCTTCCATCATGGCTCGAAGTCTCTGGTTTGAGGTAGCGTGTGTTGAAGAAGCATTGTGGGTCCGGTCCAACGATCTGGTCTGTCGAAGACGGGTTCGATCAATTTTCTGGCGGGTGTTCCTATTGCCTTCGTGGCCTGTGGGGATGCTGTTGACGGGCCTGCTTTTCCTGTCAAAATCACCCTGCGGAAGGTGCTCTTTTGCCATTGCAAGTGTTGGGTTGTTGGGAACCATGGTGGTATGCGGCTCTAAGAAATACCCAGTCAACACTGGGAAGCTGAAAAGTGGTGAGTTGGATGAAAACAATGTCAAGAGTGCAAAACAGTTGGTTGTCTATCTCCGGTGAAACGGCCACTGTACACTATGCGAGTAATCTGCGATGCAATTGAAGTTGTGAGGCAACGTAGAGGTATCGCGGAATGAAGTTGTTGCTAATCCCACAGAAAGTGGGGCTGATCTTTTTCCAGTGTTGCTTATGATCTTCTACGGCAAAGGGTCATCTTTTTTAATCGCAAGTTAGAAGCATCATTCGAATCGAAAGGGCCGGAAATCACGATTTTATGAATCCAACCAAATTGATCAATTCGAAACCTAAATATAAAACCGAAACCTAAATATAAAACCGAAACCTAAATATAAAATCGAAACCAAATTACTATGGTAATTAACTAGTAAAATCAAGCCGAAACCAAAATATAAGATCGAAACCAAAATATAAAACCGAAACCAAAATATAAAATCGAAACACAAGTATAAATCGGAATTTGGTGTAAATGGCCATTTCGGGCCCTTTCATTCCTTCAGGAGAACTCTGCTATTGTAGTAGGAGTAAATTGTATTCAGTGAAATCAATTAATACCCCAGCTCCTTTCTTGCGTTCTTGGACAAAGCAGAATAAAAAAGAAAAGAACGCTGTGAGTCATTGTTCCTGTCGTTGGCACAGCCCTTCGTAATTATCTCCACCATGTCATTACAAAAGGCAACTCCGTATGCTCCAGTTCGAACGCTCTATGCAATGCATAGATCCCAAAGCTCAACCAAGACTTGGCTGCCCCCTCTCAGTCTCTGTGTGGAGGTCCTGAAGCTCGTGGATGAGTCAAAACGGGAGCGCAGAGCGCCGATAATCTACAGTGACCAGCCTACCGGTACACACGAAATACCATGTGCAGGAAGGTTCAGAGCCGTACCATACATTGTCCTCTGCAGATGGATGGTTTGGCTGTCCCAGGATATGCTTTTGCACAACCATCCAAGAAAGCTATTACTTGGCTTTGCCAGTTCGCGTGAAATGAAACTGGTCGTGTGCTCTGTGCAACGAGAGGAGGCGAGACTAAGGACAACTGCATGCAGTCTGAATTTGCTTGTAGTACCGATAAGGGATTCAGGACTAGCTAGAGCTGCGGCCATTAAACATGTGTAGGCCGGTTGCAAGTAGAAACATGCTTGTCTTTAAATCGTTTCTATGTTATTGCTGCCATCGTGAAAGATTGGAACACGGAGTGGCTGGTACCTCATAGCGGCGACCGGTGCCGGAGGCAAGCAAGTGTCGTTGCATGCATGCTTCGTTGGATGCTCCTCCGCGCACACAGATTGACAAAGACTGAGGACACATTGGAGGACGATGAGAAAACAAAGAGCGCCCCGATCTCCAAGACAGAAATGTTGTTTTGGTTTTTGAGGGTCAAACAACAGAATTTTCGCCTTGGTGGGGAAGCATAACAAGGAAATGAAAGAAATCTTGTTAAAAGAATCACGCAGCCATGCAGCCATCCTTGTAATTGAGTATCTCTCCTAGGTTCTAGTTTCAACAGACCCACTTGGAGCCTTTGAACTGGGCAGACTTTCTTGGCGCAAAGCAGCGACAGCAGAACAATCCTGATTACTATAGAACAGCTGCTTTTTGCTGTCACTGGTAGTCTAGTCTACACGCTAGCTCGTACGGTCCATGTCATACGAAAGCCATCCAATGCCTAGTTTCTTTTTAGTAGGTCCTCACCGCAGTAACTTCGCTGCCTTTGGTGATTCAAATCTTGCTCCTGATGTTTTGATCAATCGGTGCTATCTCATGACTCATGACAAGGCAGGGCGGTGTACCGGTATGCCTTGCTCAAACTGGGAGACGTTACAGCAGTGACCGGGTGGGCAACAGTAAGAAGCTTCGCAGCTGTGCTGGAAGGACTTCACTGGCTTCACTCCTTTGCTTCAAAGGACACAACACTCACTTGACTTCAGCGCCCCCAGCAATGACCTGTACTTCAGAGGCTTGAAAACGCATGTGCCTCCGGAAGGATGGAGCATCTCTCCCCCGGGATTCCTTCGTTCTTGCTCGGGGAACTCAGCGATGCCAACAAAGTAGTGTTGTTGCTCCTCAAAGCCATACCGGTAGTTGCACCTCAAACCGTATCCGCCAGGTTCAGCCAGGGGTTCGGATCACTGTTCATCTCCAGTGCCCTAACACATGCAGTGATGTCGAATCTCTCGCGTCAAACCCCTGATCGTGTTCTTTTAATCAAGAACACTGAGGTTTTCCCAGGCAAGTGACTCCATTCCATTCCTGCGTTCCTGCTACATGCTTATAGCGAGCTGATATTATGGTCAAAGATGAAGTTGCCAGGTGAAGCATTTAGCCGTCTGTAAGCGAGTGGTACAAACAATCGTCTATCTCTTCGTCTGCGGACTCGTAGAGCGCCTAATGAGAGCTCACTGTAGATACTCAACCCGAATGCGGCAACCACAACTACGAGTCATAAATTCGAAACAATATTGGTTACCAAGGGAAAAAAGTTTGTCAAACCGGCTCATACATCACTGAAATCGACGAGACGAAACAACGAAACCATGATAGCGCAACGGCAAACACCCCTCCGACAAAACTCATTGTAAGTTGAGAAGATCGTGAGCTCGCACTGTAGGTACCTGATACAGTACGCCGTGATTCCTAGCTCATCTCGTTTGTTGCCCCACTGTTGTCCCACCGCTCGCCCATCATTGCAGCATCAACAAGATGCATGATTCCTTGACTCGATTTCCTTCCTTCACTTCGAGGCGACAGTCCAAGAGCAACAGACCAGCGGAAGAGATGAACGTTTTTTGTAGTGATATCGTTTCCAAAGAGTATGTGCTTGAAACACTGAAGGAGGTCCGTCACAACCCAGACATTCTCAAGTTAGAGATAGAAGACCTTCTGATTGCCAAGAACCACAACGCCTTTCTCCCTGTTGTCAAAGCCATTCTGCTCAGAGATGAGCGCAAGTGGAAGCACCTGCGGTTCATTGACACAATCGAAGCCACCGATATTCTATGGTGGCAAGGGATGAAGCACATCCTCATGCGAGAATACGAGACTACGATTGAGGACAAAAGCAAGTACGAAGGGCTGGTATCCTTTCAAGCCAACGTTCAAGTGATGCCTGGGGCAACCAAACTATCCATCCGTTCACTCCTCAAGAGCATTCAAAACGACAAGGATCTGCAAACCATTGGCTTCTCGGGGGGCCTGTTTGGATACAGTGACGAAGCTCTTCCGAATGCTTTGAAGAGGCTGTTTGATGATACTGATAAGCTGACAGAAAGCATCGTGATCAATATCAAGTGCGGGTGGGGGGCAGCTGACGGGGAAGGCAGGCTTGAGGCACTGAATGCCTGCCTCCGGGCCCTGAGCAGCAACAGCGGTGGCCTGTCCAAACTGGAAGCCAAGCTCGAAAAGGGGCAGCGTCGACGTCGTCGACGACGTGCGACGAGCAACGACGATATCTTGTCTCTGACTAGCAATCAGAGTACTTTGTCAGGGACAAGTGTACACAGCACGAAGTCAGAAGGCGCCAAGCGAAGGCTTCCCAGGCAGACGAGACCAGGAGACCGTCCTATCCTTCGACGGGGCACTTCACCCAGACGATGCCTCACTTTGCCTACTCCTGGTGGTAGCGGCATGTTATCCCCGAAGCGTGGAATCCCCGGAAAGTCCAGGAGCTTCAACATCAAACGTCCCAGCCTGGAAGAAGGGGGCCTAGATAAGGAAGAGGCGGTAGGAGATATTGCTCCACCTCGAAGGCTAACTACTGCCCAAAGGAGCAAAAGCTTCAGGCATCAGCGTCCCACACCAGATACTCTCTCTGTGACGAAGGATCGCTGGAACGATGGCAATCAGGTTGAAAGTACTCGTCCTTCTAGAGACCAAGACACCGCGTTGTCGCCTCAAAAACCTGCTCGCTCGAAATTGACATCGACCAGATCTACTTCTTCGGGCAGACCCTCGTTACGGCGCGTCAAGAGCTTGAACAAAGACAGCTTGGACCAGACAGAGCACGGCAACACTGGTGGGAAGCACCCTGATTACGATTGGGCAAAGGGCGACTATGCTGCGAAGAATGTTCTGCCCAGTGCGGCGTAGAACAAATAATAGCAAATAAGAACGTTGTTGTTGTACTAGTCCGTTTTCAAGCATTGTTAGTACCGCATCTATTGATCAGCACTTCCATTGATGGGCATATTACCAGGTACTGTGGGCAACCGAGTCCGCAAACGACTGCCGTGGGAACTTGGGTCTCCGAAAGTGAGAACAGCAGGGGTCATATGTGGTTGCATTCATTGAATCTGAATCGAGTTATTCTGGTTGATCTTTCCTGCGATGTGTCCCCCACAGCTCTATGCAAAGTATGAATACATGCTCTGATTCCATTTGATACCTAGTTCTTTCTTATTGCTTCTATGCAAACAACTTGATTGATTGATTGATCAAGCTGCTTTGGAAACATGGCTATTCAGATAAATTCCAGCTGCCCAGTCGTAGTCTGGATCTTCTCGGAACGAGTTAGTAGTGTCCTGCGAAAAGGACTGAAGTTCCCGAGGCAAAGACTTGGTGGCTGGTGGAGGGCTGCTCATGCTGCGTTCTGACTTCATTAGACCTTCGGGTTTCTTGGTAGGCCCGTGATTGCTAGTAGCTTTCTTTGCGCGGCGTTCCACATGCATCTGTCTTCTTCTCCGAGGTCTTCGTTCTGGCAAGGGGCTGGGTGAGCTCACGTCGACTGCACCGTGCCTTCGAACTTCCCTTAGTAATTGCATGGACCCAGTCCGCCGCAAGCGTCGTGGAGCTGGGTTGTCTTCAGCTGACTTTAGTCTGCGGAGTGATCGAGGACGCCTCGGCATCTGCATACGAGGCGCTGATTGCCCATCGGCTGTCCTCACTCTCCTCATGGGAGGTATGACATCCCCGGAGTTCTTTGGTCGCTGGAGTTGTTGAATACACCCGCTTAACATCATCTTCCAGTCCAAAACAGTTGCGACTGTCCAACCAGCAATGACAGCAATGCTGACTTCTCCTGTAGTTTCTCCAGACAGAGGATCAATTCGCTGATTTAACATAGAGGGTAACATTGCTTCGTCCAACCCGAAGAGATCGCCTTGGAACGTAACTTTAGTGACTGTTTGGTCTTGGTCAAGGCTTTGGAGAGTGTTCAATAACACAGAAGAAGGCGTTCCCTGAGCAATTCGAAAAGTGGTATCAAAGGAAATGATCCCTTGGTACTTGCAGGTATCATCAATGGATCGTTGATAGTCCTGCATGATAGCTTTCTTTTGTTGTTGGTATTTAGCAAAATCATATGGGTCAACCGTGTCCACGAATCGTACCCATTGCCAGTCTCGGCTTCCTGAAATGGCTATAGCTTTAATCAAGGAGAGCACGGAACCATGTGGACTGGTCAAGAGATCTTCAATTTCAAGTTTCAGCACTTGTGCGTTGTTCCGGACTTCCTTCAGTTTGTCAATGATAAAATCTGTGGAAATGATATCTGCGCAAAACACATTTTGTTCATCTTTTGCGTTGATGCTGGGACTAGATCGCTTGCTACTGAATGATACCGGTAGAGATCGGTGCAGCAGTCCCTTCATATCGCTGCGGCAAGGAGGAGTATTATTAGTTTGAGTTAGTGATCGTTCAAGTATGGTCAGCTCGTCAAGGGGATGGCGAGAAGAAGGGACTTACAAGGACCTAGATCTTTGGGGCAGTCGCCGCGGAGAGAGACTTCTAGCTGGCATGTTGGTGTGATTTTTTGGGGAGCTTCTATGACTGTGTTCCCAAGGATTTGTGAGCCAAGCACGCCCAAGACGGAGGCCTGCGAATCACCCTGGATCTCACTGCGTCCATCCCTCAGCATTATCTGGACCGGCAAATGGCGATGGATTATACTAACTGGCAGTGGTACCTGTGTATATCTACGAGTACGAGCAAAGGGTGGCTGTGCTGTACACTCATAGATTCTACCTGGTTTCTGGTGCGTGTGGAGATTCGATTCTACCTTAGAACAGAAATGATTTAAACCAAGTTCCCCAGCAAACCAGCAGCTACTCGAGTACTGACTACTCCAGTACTGAGTAAGAGTTTCTAACTTGGCATTCCGAACTACGATTAATTTACAAAAGCCTCTTTAAATCTTTCTCAATTCAAGACTTACTTCGTTGTGCAGCTGTTGTGCCTGCGTGGTTGCATAACATTCATTGTGCGCTTGGTGTGACTCTACTGTCGCTCGGCTCGACTCGACTCGAACTGTCACCTTTCACCGTAGATCAATCAAACTTTCTTCTGAGCTTTAAATCCTGAGCATAGACCTACCACCAGTCTCCGGTAGCTAGCTGGCTGTGAGGGTAGCAGTCTAGTGGCCATAGCCAAAAGTCCACCTGAGCAGTAAGACGTGCTCCAGGTGAATTGCTTCGTCTACGGTGAAAAAAGTCATTAGAAGATGCATCTTGCTTTCCATCCTCAAGCCCCAAGAATGGGGAGCAGAGACTGGGTGGCAAAGGCTGCTGGGCTGTTGTGCTGGACTAGCTAGTGGTGAGCCCTGATCAAATTCAATGTCGAGATGGGGAATCTTGGGTTCTCTAGGAAGGGCTGTTGCAGTGTTGCAGTACTAGTGAGCTTCGACACCACTGTCATTGCCAGTTGCCAGATCTGAACTGGCAATGTACGGTAGCGTCCTCGCTCCCTCAAAACCAACAAGCAGCGACTGGCTGATAAGGTAAAGCTTCTACGGCGGTAGAAGTCCCTCAAGTAAGTGGCGGCAATTTTCAAGGGGTACCTGGTGCAGTGCTAATGGTAAGAAACTGGGGCACTTCTTACGAGTCGAGTCGAGTGATCATTGCATCCAACAAGGCCGCACACATGCCCTTGGTTAGTTGGATGGCCTGTGATGGAATTAGCATCGAGTTTAGGAGAGGAGGGTACCGTCCTGGTATCTAAGCTGAGCGCTCATCTCCAGGCATATCGGTCGACACATCGAAAGGGCAGCACATCCAATGCAACCCGATGAAAGAAGCTGGGTTGTAGCCATGGAGCTGCAAACAAAAGAAGCAAAGACGAGCAGAGGATGAAGGAAGAAGCTCGGGGGCCTCCACTGTCACCTGCTGGAAGAACCCAGCTGCCAACCAACCTGGACCGGAAACTTTGGCATCTTGGGAATTACGGGATCATATCACTGTACATCTGTACCTTTTTAGCTTCGATGCAATTTGCTTGATGTAACGGTCGTCTATTTTTAGGGCTTGTTCTAGTTGTGTACGAAGGCCAACAATTCGCTGGTTGCTGGTTAGGCTGCATTGGGAGCACGGGTATTGAGGTAGACGCCAATCGTCCAATCATAGTCGGGAGATTCTGCAAACATTGGGCTAGGAAAAGAATGAGAGCTTTGAGGCGGCAAAGACCTGGGTCTGACGATGTGGCCTGACTGTGAGAGTGCATCATTCGACTTTCTCCTGGGTCTTCTGTGATTGCTAGGCTGCCTTGCGGTGCGGTGTTCGGAGAGCCTTTGTCTTCTGGACCTTCGCTCCTGACTTGACCTCCCTTCTTCGCTATTAGCACCGCCTCTGCGCGTTTTTCTTTTGTGCAAGGGCATAGAAGCAGACCGCTGGGAACCTGTCGGAGGAGAGGTGCTTTCGTTAGCGGATTTTGTTCTGCGGAGTGAGCGATTGCTATTCATTCGACGCGGCAGACGTGGTCGTCCCTCTAACGTCCTTGATCTTCTAAGCGGCGCTTTGGCATTGGATGCCTTTGGCGCTTGTGATTGTGGACGAACTATTGGACCCTGAGCACTCTCGGCCCGCCGAAGGGGTGGTCCTGGATTCGCAGTTGCTGCTGCGTCTGTTGGTTGCTGCAGTTGTCCCACACATGCATTTAGAAGAATTTTCCAATCAAGTGCAGAGGACTTGGACCACCCTGAGAGAACAGAGATGGTGACTTCTTCTGTTGTCTCTCCTGACACAGGGTCAATATTCTTTTTGAGGAGGGTTGGGACAACTGCTTTGTCCACACCAACAAAGCTGCCGTCAAATGAGACATTTGAGATAGTCTTGTCTTTGCCTTGTCGAAGGCTTTGTAAGATGTCCCTCAAAACATAGGATGGGGTCCCCTGAGCAATTGTGATAGTTGCATCAAAGGACACAACTTCATTGAATTTGCTATTATCATCAATGGACTCCTCATAGTCTTGCATGATGGCTTGCTTCTGTTGCTGCCACAACGCAAAGAGGTCAGATTCCACAGCATCCACGAATTTGATTGACTGCCAATCTCGCTTCCCAGAAACCACTAAAGCTTTGATGAGGGGAAGCAGGGCGTGGTGTGAACTGGTTAGGAGATCTTCAACTTCCAGCTTGACGACTTCAGTGTTGTTCCTGACTTCCATCAACTTGTCGATGATGAAATCAGTGGAAAGTATATCTGCACAGAATATGTTTTGTTCATCTCTTGCGTGGTTGCCGAGCTTTGAGTACCTGAAGGGGAAGGACTGATTGAAAAACTCCTTCATGTGACTGGCGCCAAAGGGAGAACACAAGCTTAGCTACTTTACAAGCGGCATGTATTTTCTGCTCTTGAGTACCTATAGTTTGACTTACAAGGACCTTGATCTCTGCGGCATTTTACGTTGCGTCTGACCTCGCACTTGCATGTTGGATTTGGCTGCTCGTTGGGTTTTTCTTGATGGAAATTATGGGAGGTCTAGGCCAGGGCTCCAGCTGCTCAATTCTCATTTGAGGCAGAGGATGCAGCGAGCCAAACAAGATCTCCAAAGATCAGAATCAGATTCCCAAGTGTAACCAAACTCTTGTTGCATCCCTGGCCCTTCAGCGTTGGAAGTTTTCATGATGACATTGTGTGGTGTTTGCGTGGGGGAGGTCGTGGGAGGCACCAAGGCGACTTTTCTACTGCAACTGTCTCTTAATTAATAGAATTGTATCGAAGGAGGCGAAGCTTAAGGAGCTCGAGCTGCGAAGGTTGGGAGTTGGGAAAGGGGAAAGGGTACTGTTTCAGTAGTGCCCTTATGACTGTATGACTCCTGGAAGGAAAGTGGCCGTTCTGGAGAAAGCTGTGAGTTAAAGACAAGCAGGTCTGCACCAAGGGGACATTCTGGTTCTTAGAATAATGACAGTTCAATGACATAGCGGCACTTTCCGACTACGCTGTACCGACACCAACTCAAAAAGAACCAAACTCACAAGAGTTGCATGGGGTGGAAGCAAACTACACACAAGTCTTGCACTGCATGTTGGGGCCTAGATAATAACCACTGGTTCAACCAGTGGTTATTGGTTAATCAACCTATAAATAACCTATAACCAGTGGTTGATCAACCAATAACCATTAACCAGTACCCTAGTTTGACTGGTTGATCAACCATTAACCAATAACCAGTACCCTAGTTTGACTGGTTGATCAACCATTAACCAATAACCAGAACCCTAGTGACTGGTTAGCGAACCCTGCTCAAGAGCTCTCACAAGCCACTCAAGTCGGAGGTGCGAGATGTGAGGTTCTGGAATCTGCGTGAAACGACTGCAGCATAAATGCCCCAAGAATCCAGTTTGGTCGACAGCTGTACGCGCCAGGCGGCACATAGAACCATCTGCTAGCTAGTTTGTACTCGGTAGTTTGTAGCTAGCTAGCCAGCTGAACAAGCTGCAACTTTCAAGCATCTCTTTTTAAAAAATTAAGTTGCGAAGTTGCCAAGTGCATCTGCATCTGGATGCTGGATGGATTCGCGTCCTCAGTGGTTTGCAAAAAGGGCAAAGAAATCTTAGCAGAACGATTGTATCATACTCTCTGGCTACTAGCTAGTAGCAGTTCACCGGTTACTTGCCGGTACAGACTACTAAGCTTGACTAGCTAGAGTAGTACGAGCAGCTCTTGACAGTCTCTTGACTTCGCATTGGGAACTGCTACCTGCTGTGACTCCGAAGCCTCCCCTTGTATTCGGGAAAGTGAATCTTCGCCCGTTACTCTCAATACTCTGATAGCCATAGACTTCTCCAACATGTACATGCCCAGCCAGCTCTTGTCATCTTGCCATCGAGCGAAGGAACTAATTGGCATCCGGAAGAGGTGCGGCCTCTGGAAACGCCTCAACGACCTACCAGGTACGGTACTCAGTAAACAGTAACAACAGCGCCACTACGAGCGAAGGAATCAGCAGCTGTCAAGCCACAAGAGGAGGCAGACGGCTCTCTCGACACAATGACGGCACCATGGAGCGAAAATCTCACCGGAGCGATTTTGAACTCTGGGGGGCGAGCCAGGGCCAAAGCCCGTCAATTCGCTCCAACAAAGGATGGAGATGCCAGCTTAACAATCACTTCACAGTCAACTACCATCCGCGGAAAGAGATTCATTTTGTTGTGCTACACGGAACCAAGCCATGAGCAGTACCGGTATCCCCACGACGTCGTCGTCAGCAGGGACAAAAACCGACAGCATGGTACCCTGCAGAAGAAAATTCATACATTCGATTCAATTCCCAAAGTGTACGATGTAGCACGAAATGATCATTCTATGACATGTAACGTACAGAGCTGAGAGTAGAGTAGAGCAAGCAGCCTTGCAGCAAGAGATCTGACGGTTCCAGGGCGGCGAAGGCAGTGGTTTCGACATTCGACAGCGCACCGGTACAACGCCGTCGTAGTTTCCATGAGTGACGAGTCGGCAATGTTCAGGATTGAAGGATCAATCATTCGTCATTGGCTTCCTGGAGCCTGGAGCATGGATCCATCCCTCTGGGGCTGGGGCCTTGCTGGCAACGGTACTTGTCCGGTGCATTTGTAGCACAAGAGCAGCACATCACATCCACGAATGATTCCAATCAGCCAATCCAACATACTGGCACCGGTACTCGTGGAGCCCATTGATTGTACCCCACAAAGCACCAAGGCTAAGGGAATGCAAGAGCAACCGATGTGTTCGTCCTTATGCTTGGGTGGCCCTCCAGGTAGCAGTTGTGCTGCTTGGATCTGGTGGGGCACTATCAGTACCGGTACCACTGGATACTCTGAGTAGGTACGCTAGAGCTAGCTAGAGCACCAATAAAACAACTGTCGCTAGCTAGCTAGTGCGGGGACACAACTAGCTAGCTACTAGCCATTGACGACCACAATTGCCCGCTCTTTGTTTTGGTTGATGCAGTCAATCACAAATCCCAACACCTGAATTTGGACACTGAAAACCCAACCAACAAGTTGGACGTCGCAGCTCTGGACACTGGACGGTATGCTTAAGCTACTATGCAGTACTAGTTTAGCTAGCCACTCAAGCATTATTTTGCCTCTGGTCCAGTTGCGGAAGCTTTCTCCAAGGCAACAAAGAAAGGCTGCATCCGCAAGGGTCGCTTTTGCGTGTGGTGGTGTCACAGGTACTGTGTACGGAGTCGAGTCGAGTCCTGCTACCGGTATTAGCTGCTGGCTACTACTAGTAGAGCTAGTAGCTACTCTAGCTAGCTAGCAGACGCAAGCTGGTCAACAACAAAACTGGTTAGGAGCGGTTCCAGTTAGCTCTTCAAGCTTCACCGAACCTGTGGCTGCTGTGCTGCTGTCACCATCGACGAGCACAAGGAGATCCTACCGGTACATGTAGACAAGGAGGCAATTTTTGTAGCGATCTTCAAGAAGGGGGCAGTTGTGAGACAGCTGAAGCTTTCTTCTCAATTATGCTTTCGGTCACAGTTGCGCAAGCTTTTGTAGAAAAATCTCCCGGCAAACTGAAGATCCGAGTTCAATCGTGTTCCCGCGGCGAAGCCAAGGGAGCACGATTTAACAAGGATCGACAAGGCCGAGGACGAGGCAAGATCAAGACAACAACCGAGGCTGAGGCTGAGGCCCGGAAGGCCGAAGGCCGACTGCCGAAGCCGAAGCCGAGGTTGTAGTCGAGATCGCAGCTGAGAACAAGGCCGACAGTGAGGCGGGAGATCTTTGTGTGTAATCTACCTGACAACAGCCCGAGGAAAGGAGTACAAGTGGTAACAGGAGCGCCATGGTGGATGTTGATGGTTGTCGCGTTGTTTTGTTGCTGTCGTTGTTGTTCTCGTCGTGGTACAGTTTACCACGGAATCAATCGTGTTTGGCTTGAGTTTAAACGGCTAATAAGTTGTCCTGAGATTACTTAGGAAACAGAAACGGCTGAAAATCCAACAGTGGATTCTCCTTGATACTACTAGTGGGATTTTACCCGCCAATTCCCACTCAATAAAACGGCTGAAAATCCAACAGTGGATTTTGCACAGTAACTACTAGAAGAGTAAAACTTCCAATCAACTAGCTCCTTATACAAACCTGCGAAATGGCACTCAAAATCCATGTGCAACTTTAAATCTTCAGAGTGGATTCTCATCTAGAATCCAATATTTTGTCCTCACACAAACAACTAGTGGATTTCGGACGTTTCTTTTTTCAGCCTGTAGAAACAGTACTAGAGCTACGAGGGCTTGGCGGGTGGATTATATTTCGAAGCCTTCTGAATTTCAAACCGCAAAGAGAAATTTGCTTCCGTGAGAGAGGAGTCGCAAAAGCCAACGCCCCCCAGTATCAACTGCCCAACGTGACTGGGGCTACACCACGACGGAAGGGCCTCACTGCGTGGCGAATTCGGAAGAATCTTGATTCCGTGAAAAGAATGAGTTGCGTAACATTTATTTACACCTTCTTCACATGCAATAAGAAGTTTGCGGGATGACAGGAAAGGAGTCTGAATGGCTCAAAATATGAGGTGCAGATTATGTCTCGAATTGCACTTTGCTGTTTCACAATACTGTGCAAGCTTGTACACGAGTGTACTGTACACTTATGTCTATTATCTGGAAACAATCAGGTATCCGCAAGAATCCGAATCGAATCGATAGAAACCGCTTGCTGTTGTGTGTTACAGGCCCTGCAACCGGTAGCATTGACTTTTAGACGGGATCTTGCTACAAGCTTTTTAATTAATTCAACCAGCGTCATGAAATGGAACAGCCAGCTTGACGAAACAACTACATGTACACCACCCACTCTTTACAAAAATTAAAACGGAAAAGTTGAGAGGAGCCACGTAGCCTCCATCGCTACCTCCATCCGAGATTATGGACAATGGGGCGCCTGATGACCCGGGTGGGCCCCCGAGACCACCTCGACGGCCTCTGCTAGATGCTGAGCTGGTGCGGGGCGACGCTAGAATGAATAGAGCAGTAGAAGCAAAGCTGAGGAACCCTGCGCTCTCGTTGTCAGAAGCTGTTCGGGCTGGTGGATTCCGGTATCCGCCCAATGCCACTTCTGTAGCAACGGATGACGAGCAGGTTTCACTGGGCCAAAGAAAGAATCAACTGAACCGGAGATTGAGACAGATTAGGCAGCAACGGGCTCAAGCAGAACAGGAGGCTCAGCGGCGGGCTCGGGAACAAGCTCAGCGGGAAGCTCAATTCCGGGAGCAACCTGCAATGGCAGCAGGACATGGACCCAACATGGCGGTGCCTCCTGCTGTAGGTGCGTATGTGTCGAACAATCCGAACAATGCCCCGTCCGTTCAAGGGCAGCCCAACTCCTGGACTGCAGCTGCCTTGCAGAATCAGAGCTCTGCAGGAGCACCCCCGGTCAGAGCTGGGGCTGCAGCGCAGCCACAGCAAGCGCAACCACAGCAACTACATCAACCACAGCAAGCCCCAGGGCTAATGGGGTTTTTGGAATCCCAAGTTGCGACCCTCTATCAACAGCTGCAGCAACATCCTCAGCAAGGTCCTCCATCCATGCCACAAGTCCTTCCTCAACAGCAGCAACCACAACAGCAGCAACCACAACAGCAGCAACCACAACAGTTTTTGCAGAGCTTGACTGGTGCTGGGATGCCAGCACAAAACGCTGTGGTAGTGGCTGTTTCCGGCGCTGGCACCAACACTCTCAACCAGAGTACTCTCAACCAGAGTATTGCTGCCTCGAACTTGGCGGCGACCATCATGGCCGGAACTCATGCGTCAATTCCACAACCACAACAGCAGCCAGCACCCGCAAACTTGAACAGTGGAACTACTACTAATGGTTCGAATGACGACTTGCGCCTGCGACTAGCTCTCCACTTTTTTGAAGAACAAGTTCGAGGAGTCTACCAAAATGCCATGCAAAGTGCAGGGTACAGCATGGAAGAGATCCAAGCGACGTCCCCTGCCTATCAACGATTTGTACAACGAGCAACTCAAGCCGAACTCGAACGGCTCCAATCCCTCAATGACATGAAGCCACCATCCTCTCACAAGAAAGAATGAATGAATGCTTCCAACTAAATTTTTGCACAGAGAATCCTGTTCAGTGCACAAAATGAACATAAAAGAAGAAAGATCCAAGACTTACACATAATGCATCTGCTGCCTATCACAGCACCAAAGTACTGTAAACACAGCACGAAGAGTAAAGGCGAATATGACAGGCCCGCCACAGTCCGCTAAAATCTGGACATGTATAAACAAAGAAATGGCTGCCTGTCAATCCTCCAAGAATTCATGACTATATATCTGCACACCGGTAGCCCCATCATCATAGGATGGCTACATAATTACATAACTGTTAAAACACACTTGGTAGATGATCTGAAATCAGTACATGTAGACACAAAGATTTGGCTGGCTGCCAATCCTCCAAGAGAGCATGACTATATCTATCTGCATACCGGTGCTGCCCATCATCATAGGATGCATAACTGTTGATTAAATACACACTGCTCTAGGAGATCGCAAGAACAAAACACACAAGCACAGCTCATCATCTATCTCAAGTCAGAATGAATAGCACAGGCAACCGCGGCTCTTTAGTCATTCTTAGTGCTTCCTGTTTCCTGTCTCGACAGTCCTCCGAATGCTTGAAGAAGCCAGCTCTCTTGGTGGAGTGTCTACGTATGCTCGAGACTCAGCATCAGTGACTCAACTGAATCACTCGATTCAAATCGATTTAGCTTTAACGCTAAAATGAAATGAAATGTCGGAAGGTGTTGAAAAGGTGTGAACTTGAACGCACAATTTCTCTAATTTAATCAATATCCTTCCAGCTCTACTGTCTAGTAGACTGGCTATCTGTTTCGTTTTCTCTTTTTCTCTCGTTCAGATTGTGTGAGCTCACAACTGAGCTCCGATATGCATACATATACCAGGATCATTTCATCCAGATCTTTGCTTGTTTCTCGCAGTTTAATCACAGATAGATCTCGTCGTATCTATCCTTCCTAAGTGCATGTTTGGCC